GTGTGTGTGTGTGTGCGCGCGAGCATGAGAATCTGCGTTTATGAGCGTGGGTATTTGAGTGTGTGTGCATGTGTCTGTGTGTATTAGAGATGATGGAACAACAAACCTTTAAGGATAGTAGAGACATGACCCCGGAGTTCCTCAACCAACGCCTGCATGCGAGCATACTTTTCCTACAGAACAAAGAAAACAACAATTATAACAAAGTTTTAGAAACAAATACCAATATAAGGCCATGCCAACTGATAATGCCCTCATCTGTGGACTGACATACTATTTAGTTTTCCAAAAAAACAGCAAAACTGTTGAAAATGATAAAAGGTTTACAAAATCTATTTTTTTTTAAAAGACTACATATTCGTCCTCTTCCAACCAGACTTGCCAACCACAGAGAAAGTATGATTTTTTTTCTCAGAATCATCACTCAAAATCGGAGTTAGAGGGGAAAAAACTGAGTCTTTAGAAACCCCAGTAGTAAAAGATTATAATATAATGAACCAATCAAGGCAAATAAACAAATGTGTCGCAAATATTATATACGCAAATAAACACAAATAAAAATGTGCATTTTCATGCCATTTCAAAAAAGTTGTGCAAATATTTATAATAAACCTGGGTATTTTCACGTATTTTATTTAAGCTGTATACGACAAGAAGAAACAGAATTCAAGAAAAGAATTTAATTTCATACAAAGCTGCTAAGCGAGATTTTTCGATGGTGGGCGAAAAATAAAATTAGAGAGCTCTAATTTTATATCAGCACTTGACAGGTCTGCTTCCTCTCCTACTACTACTACTAGGCTATAGCTTAGTATAGGACCATGCCTTGTGTTTCTTTCTTCTATCATTTAGTCCTATCTTCGGAAATGACAACATGATCGGCGAAGTGTGAACTGAATGAAACGGAAACCTGTTACATACTTCATGGAAATGGGGGTAAGAACATTCCTCGAGACCTAAACGATAACGTAAAAATAGAACTGATCATTTGCTCTAAATCTAAACAATTGAATCGTGAGCATCATAACGAATCCAGTTAAGTTTATAATCAATGAAACATCATTCCATACCAAAGGTGGGGGGGTTCACATTTTCTGATTTTGTCCCATAAAAATCATAGTTGTTCCTAATTAAAGAGACATTTTAAATGGAAACTGCAGACTGCAGATAGATAGTGTGAGAGGGGAAATAAAAAGTAAGCTACACACTTGAATTAGAAATTTTATGTTGAGAGTTCAGGCAGAATGTTGTGACGATGGGGAAAGCAGTCTAATGGAAAAATACGACCTGTGCCAGTAGTAAAATGCCCAATCTAACATAACCAGCAGTTAATGCGCCAATGGCAGATCTGATCTAATTACAGAGAAACTAAAAGACTGAATCAGCTAAAACAAAGCGAAGGTTATCATCATTAAAATTGGCACGATGACGCCGATGTGTCATGTCATGTAAACTGACTCAAGTGACTGATAGGACGCTGGGAATGGGCATGGGAGGCAGGACGCAGGGGATTGAGCACCTGGTATTCTGGGGAGTTCACATCCTGCGGAGTCCCAATGCAAGGTGCTGCATCTTGGTAATGTAGAGCTCGAACAGCACATCTCTGACCGATGGCTCCTGAAAGGATTTTGCGGCACAGCCAGGGTTTCCACACTAAGGACGACATAGCGGTCGTCGGCACTGATGAAGAACGAATAAAAAATTCGGTACACCTGTTGTCCAAATCGTAATGAACACTTGCTTAGCAGCTCAGCAGTTTACAGTCGCGTGGAACAAACTTTTCATCGTTTCTATGGCTTTTGGATTATTAGATTATCTATTATTATTTTCTCTTCAGTAAAACTTTTTTTTTGGAGCTTTCTGATACATGTACTTAACTACTAGGCTATAATCATTTAAAGGTTTTCATCCTCGATGTATCTCTCTTGAGGAAGGATACATTATTAGAGTTGTGCAGATTGTAACTGGAACATGATATGCTTAAAATTAGAACGTAGACCGACGGTCCCAATATTTACACTTTTAAAAATGTATAAACGATTTTTTTTCTTCTTCTTATCTTAGCAGAATTAGCTCAGTCATTCAAAGTTAAAGGGTCGCTGTATCAGATACTTGTCCGATGTGACAATGCTTTGAGAACATGGACAATGGACAAAGAATAATTCTTTGGTCTTTTTTTTCCATCCCGACATGCGTGCTTCAGTAAAGGCACTGCAGATCTAGACCTCCTCAGATACTGAGAAGGCCTAGGTACTAGACCAAAGAACTGAGATCAAGGTTTATCATCACACCTCCTCGTATTAATCCCTCAAATTTTAATTATTCATAATGTCGGCACGTCAGTGAGAGGCTTCTTTTTCTATTTTGTTTGTTTTTGTTTTAGGTTGTTGTTTTTGGAGGAGGGCGGGGGGGGGGGGGTGTTTTGTTGGGGGAGGGTGTATATGTTTTAATCCTTGTTTGTTTGTTTGTTTGTTTGTTTTGTTGGGGTTTTTTTTTTTTTGGGGGGGGGGGGTTCGCTGTATTTGAGGGATGGGGGATTGAGGTGAGGGGTTTCGTTAGCTTTTTAAATTGTTGTTGCTGTTGTTATATTTATTTTTTAGTTCCCTCGGTATTGGGGGGGGGGGGGGCGGTAAGAGTAGATAAAGTTCCATCAAATACAGGGCCTATATATTGATTTCCCTATATATTGCACTTTTACAAAGAAAAAAAAGCACACCACCCCCCAAAAAAAAACAACAACAACCAAACCACCCAATAAGATAAAATAAGATACTTTATTATCCCAGAGGGCCTGAAGTGAGTGCGGTCGTCAAGTCGAATTTAAGGAGCCAGTATTGATACTTAAATATGAAGAACTTTGAAGACAACGCAGTGGAAACTAGCTCATATTCTGACATGACAATTAAAGCCTTATTACGATGATTATAACCCCCAGCATGGGGTCGAGAGTCGAGATTAGCCTAAGAGAGGCGAAGGCTGATCTCGAGTTCCCTCTGAGATCGAAACAGATCTGGAGATATAGATCTCAGGCATGTGGGGAACATGGGGTGGAGGCAGAGAAGACCGCCCACATCATAGACAAGTGGAGAGTTATTTTGTTTAACAACTTCATTTCTGAGAGTAGGCTATTAGCGAGGGTGTCGGTCGAGCGAGGTCAATTAAAAAATTAATAAGTTACTGTAATGATGACCCCAGGTGGTGACCCGGTGACCCCATGTTCAGATCAAATGTACCTAATTATTTTTCTATTTGTCGAAAGCACTTTGTACCTCAGATGCGAGAGTGACTTCCCCCTGCCACAGCATCAACCGTGTTTGTAGTAATTCGTTGTTTTGTGTTACCAGTTGTATTGTTTTATGCAGATTATTGGTTGTTTTTGTTTTGTTTTGTTTTTTTTAAAGAAATCTGAATCCAATATATAACATATCAATAATAGTTGCAAAAATTTTCATTTGTCGCATCTTAGCATATTATCAGGTAGAGATATATTTATATACTTGGCTAGTTAGGACATCATGTGCAAACTTTTCTGTAACTCTTCTGTGTAAAAGTATCTTCAAATCTAACAATAGACAGCAACGATCTTTTATATATTCTAATCCACCAAAGACATTACAAGTCAAACACTGGAAAGCGACGACGCCCACTTTACAAGCCTGAAATTGTTGTGTTATAACTATAAATGAACAGACTTATCTTATTCATGAGATATATATGTATTAGTATTGGCTAATATAGTTTGGGAATTAAGTTTTCTCAAAAAAACCAAAAAAAAAGGCTCGACATATAACGGTATAATTTTTAAACTTTAAAGTTAGAAATATTGAAAAGAAGACACAACCTGCTTAATTGTGCTATATGATCGTTTCTTTGGCAAGTCATGTCATTCCCATTATAGGCCTAATAGTGGATCATTTGATCCGACTGGCTTCTTCTCTAAACAAAATGATAAAAATAAGAAACTTTCTCAATTACCTGCCATGCATGCTTCTGATAAAATATTCTCCGAAAGTGAAATGGGATATCTTAACAATCATAATATATATGTCGGCCTAAATTTCTTAGTGTACATTAACTAACGTTTAATGCTAGCTAATTGTGCTTTTTTATTAAATTGTTTTCAAACTTCATTTTTATCAGATCTACATGTTGAGTTTCCACTACGGACACGACTGTTTGATACAGCTTAAAATCTTTTCAAAGACCATCTAGATTGTTTATGGGAGAGGAGATTGCTTTTGTCTTGCTTTGTCTTCTTTAAAGAAGAAAATAAATACTGTGCAAACAATAATAAGCATTGCAATGAAACTTCCTTTCTGCCTACCACGAGCAAAAGTGTTCGCACTTCCTGCCACCACTTGTGTCAGTGTCTCTGACCAATGAGTCAATGCGATTTCGATTACAGAAATCGTCACTGAAAAACCAATCTGTGTAACCTAGCAATGGCGTCATTGTTTTGTAAGTGGATCTCAGTTTTGTTTATAACATTATATGGCGTATATAATCACGTGAAGCATTAAAATGTGTTTGATTTTCTAAATCTCCATCTTAGGGTCTTCTGACTGATAGGTTCAGATATTTGTTTATGTGTGTGTGTTCTCAAAAGGTCAGTAGCTTCGGATCCTTGCCCCAGACATTGTTGGCCTGCAATACCAATCTGGGCCGCCATTGCCACTCTGCGTTATTTTGATTTCCACTTGAATGAACTTGTAGAAACAGTAAGAAGCTGAATTGTTTACTTAAGTCTACTCATATTACTCATCGATAAATTGTTAGTTATTGCGAAATATAGGCATTGCAATAGGAGCAAGACTAATTTAGTCTTACGTACAGAGGGTTTTTTAACTGTAGGCTATAATAATTATTCAAGGCTTTTACTTTTATTATATGTTTGTTTGTGATCCTCATGAACATGACATGAACGATATGAAGTAGAAGGAAAGGAAAAGATAGGATACTCCTTGCATTTGTTGTTTGTAGATGTAACTCAATCAATTCCCCTCGATAGACCTTTCAGAAACCTCACAGGAAGTTGTGCAGTAGCATCTGAAGAACTACCATCATGCTAGCAGCTAGACTCGTGTAATTTTAATGATTCACACTTAGTTTTGTTTTAAATTGTTTTAGCTATAGGGTATGTACTGTAATAATATACAGGTTTTGACTCCTCATCCGGTGCCAGATCTGAGACAGACATCAGCTATCATGGCTCTCCATTCATTCCTTTGTTCGGATGCTCTTAAAAAAACTATGTTTCCCTGATCTTTCGATCCCCGTTACTGGTTATGAGTACAGAGGTAATACTAGTAGGCTTCCCTTTCTCACAGTCTCCAAATCTTTACTATTATCAAGACAGCTATTTATATATTTATGTCATATCTCCTTCAAACCCTCTTATTTAAATTCTTTGCAGACAGGGTTTGTGTTTTGGAAATCTTAAATATATAGCCTACCGTTGAACTTGTCCAAGAGCGAATCACAATTTAAGGAAGCAGGGAAAAAAATAAAAAATTCTGAGACATTTTCTGTCTTCGATGGTGGAATTTAGAGGGAATAGAGGGTCTCCAGAGGGCCAGTACATGAAAGTACCAGTGCAGTCGAGATCAAGACTTGCGTGCATGTCAGGTTGACGAGCTGTTGTGGGGAAAACTTCACACCTTCCCTAATGTGCTCTCCCAGCCTCTCTGATAATGGCATGTGTACTTGCATCTCATTAAGTTCACTGTTTAACCAATTAAAAATAGGAATGATTTAATTTCCCTTTTGTCTCCACCCTTAAAATAAGCCCCCCCCCCCCCCCCTAAAAAATTTTTTTTTAAATTTTAATTAAATATTAATGTAGCAAATATGCATGAATTACCAGGGACACCACTCCTGTGCACTTCACAATGAATCAGGGACATTTTTTTCTCAGCTGGCTATGCGATCAGGGTATCAGACAGTGGTCAAATTTCATGCCAAAGTTTCCGAGCCGAAATGCCACTTATGAGCACTTTGAAAACAAGCAGTGGTTAGATTTCACACCCACACCATCTTAACCATTTGCACAGGTTAGGGCTTAAATGGGTGGGGTAACAGCTACCCTTCCCCTCCTCTCCTCCCCCCATCTTCAAAACAAGGTTGAATGTACAAAACATTTTCTGTTTACTGTCTTCGTCAGGTCAAAACCCTCTTTATTTAAGGGAAGAAATTTCTCCATCCTTTCCAGGGTTGTGAATTAAAGAACAATTTGTATTTTGCATTCATTTCATCTTATTTCTCTACTCTAATCTTATTTTCCAGAAAACTGTGCATAAAAACTGTAGACTATTATTGAGAAATATTCCATACACGAAGGATCCTCTGAAGATTCGAGGTCATGAAAGTTTCTGTCAAAGCAGCGATTAGCGTGTTCTACATGACATGTGTTGGGAATTGACTGGACCTGAAAACCTACTTCATCAGGTAAATCAAAGTTATAGTTATTTAACTCTTTATCTCCGCAGGGGGTAAACTCACTACGCCGGGGCCCTTTTTTGGTGCTAAATCTAAAAATGACAAAAACGTCTTTAAATGGATCATTAAATAAAAACTAGCAAACCTATTTGGATAGTTCTTCATCTAATGAATGAACATTCGGTATAAGAGACCTGTTTTCTACAATTGCCGAAAAGTAATTTGATGTCGAAGTCGTCGTAAAGGAATGTGCCCGAGCCGCTATCAATGGCTCACCGCGGCTTGCCGGAGATAAAGAGTTATGCTAAATGTGAGGCATCGTAGAGAAATCAGGTGCTCGTGAAAATAACGAAATATCAAAGAAACTGCCATTTTTCTGGTCAATGGGTAATGTTTTCTCAGTTTTCTTTTTTATTGGGGCGCAAAACCTTTCAAGTCCATTTTAAAACTCATTACTGTGTGGGTTTTTTCTGAAATATGTTGATTAAATGAAAAAAAAAAAAGAAGTAAATTTACAGTTTCCAGGGACTCTCAAGGGTTTAAAGTCATCAAACTTTGGTGGCCATTTCCTCTCTGATTTTACTTCTGAAACCATGTTACCCCCAACTCCTTCAATCCTAAATATCTCGACTTTTCTTGAAAACATGTGGATAACTGTTTTCATTGAAAGAAAGGCAAATGGCAAGCACGAAGATGATATCAATCACTCCCTATTACTAAAAATTGATGAGCGCCTGATTCTACTTCATCCTGACTAAAATGAAACATCTCATGTAGTGAAGGGCGTCCTCAGTATGCCTGGTTGTGGAGTAAATTATCAACAAATTACTTGAGCTTGATCGTATAGAAACAGTCCGAACAGACTGTAAAAATTTGAGGAATTTAGGCGTGCGCATGCAACAGAAATATAACCCTTATTGAAAAGTGGCCCATATGCAAGATGTCAAGCTATCCATCCAGTGAGCAGTATAGATCCCTATGAAATTGTCAAATTCATTAGGAATTTTAGCGGACCCTTTACACAGCTAATTTCAGTTAGTCTCATGTTCTCTAAAAGACAAAAAGGTCTCCTCACTTGGTGGACGATAAAAAACAAGAATGATCAACTGCAGAGTCTTTTAATTAAATGGCCTTTCAGGTCATATTTACTTGAAAGCAGAAGCGTTATTGATTACTTTGCGGTTCTGTAGTAAAGAAAACAGTTGAGTGACTGTGTGCTCAAATAAAAGTTTTCTGCCAAAATGTCCCAAGTCATATATTGTCACTGTGTAGATTTTTTGGTATCAAAATTGAGTTGTTCGCTCTTGAAATTATGAGGTTTCTCTATTTATTAGGAAAAGCAGTTTGTGACAATAAAGATAATTAGTGAAGTTTGAGCAAATAAAAGAACATCTTTTCACCCGTCTTAATTTTTTTGGGTGCCCTCTCCCTTTTCCTTTCCATGAACTCATACTGTATTCATGCCTCCTCCTCCCCCTCCCGACCATTTCCAAACCAAATCCCAAACATGTCCTTCTTACTAGAACAATTTACAAATGTTAACATCCCCATCCCCTTTTCTTGGTCCCATCTCTCCAGGGCTAAGTGTACTACACACTTCAGTGATAGCACAGAGAGCCGACCACCAAAATGCCTAGCAGAGACCCCAGGTTGTACGTTAAGGCCGTACCTCTGCCCATTGACAGTCAGAAGGGACTCAAACTCCAGGCCCGCAGCGCCCAGGTTTACAACCCAACCAGCCCTACCAGAGATGAGGTAAGGTTTGGTTTTGGACCTCCTTTCTCACGCAGTCTGATAGTGTGACCAAGTGTCTTGTAAAGTCTTGGGATATAACTGGGTCTCTTTCTTCTCTGTCTCTCTCTCTGTCTGTCTGTCTGTCTGTCTGTCTCTGTCTCTGTCTCTCTCTCTCTCTCTCTCTCTCTCTCTCTCTCTCTCTCTCTCTTTCTCTCTCTCTCTCCCTCTCTCTCTTTCTTGCTTTCTGTGTCTCTGTCTATTGTTACTTTTCTCACTTTCGGGTTAGTGTACTTCTTTCTAACACAAATGACCGGCATCTGTGATGCCATAAGTTCATTTCACAAGTGGGGATTTTGATTGAGTATCTTCGTCTTTTATCCTGTCCTTTCCCACAGCTCTTCATTTCTTATTCTATCCAGCCTCTTAATTCTCTGGATACTCCTCATACATCTGCTGACGAAAATCTGGACTTTATTCAGTACTGTTTTTGATGTCTTCCAAGTTTTGCAGCCGTAGAGGACCACAGACTTGACATTGGTAAATGGAAGGAGTTTGTATGTGGCCTATACCCTGCCAAGGGTGAAAGACATTGATGATGAGTATCTTCAGCGATGGATTGGGCATACTCTCAGGAAGTCAGGCAGCTGCATAACAAAGAAATTGTTGGATTGAAATCCACAGGGTAAGAGATCAAGGGGAAGACCACGTGGAACCTGGAGAAGAATCACACAAACTAATGTACAGAAAAGTGGGAAGACATGGAATAACATCAAGAGGCTAGCCCAGGATAGAGAATGGTGGAAAGTGTTTGTCCGTGGCCTGTACCCCGGTGCAGGGGGAGAAAGGGAATGAGGATGATGATGATCTTCATCTTTCTGTGTATGTTCCCAGGTTCGCCAGTGGAACTACAACCGCAGACTGCAGCAGAGAACAGACCAGGGTTTCTACGCCCACAACTTCCGACCCTACAAGGGACTCGGGGATCCTTTTTACCTCGAAGAAAAGAAACTGATACTGCATGCCCTGGGACAGTGGGACGAGGTTAGTCTGTCTGTCTCTGTGTGTGTGTGTTTGTTTGTGTGAATGTGTGTGTGTGTGTGTATGTGTCTGTGTATGTGTGTGTGTGTGGGGGAGGGGGGTATGTATATGTGTGTGGGTTTTTTTGTGTGTATGTATGTGCTTGTATATTCACTCAGTATTTAATTATTGTTTTTGTGTCGATTTTCTTCTCTTCACTTTATTAAAAAAAGGAATTAATTTATGTCTCTGCCTGCTTGCAGGATTTATTCAAATCAGTCTCAGATGGTCAAGCCTCTCTCTCTTTACACGTTCTGTTTTGTTGCTTTCTCTCCCTCGTCTTTAAGCCATTCCCAAAGGGGAGGACATTAACTTGTTCTAATGCACAGTAGAATTGTAAAAGGGCTGATTCATCAATGTCATGCTCATAACTGTGCCTGAACTGCAACAGGGAACTGTTGTGTTTTCTTTCCTAATCCTTACTATCGTAATTTTTTCCTCTACTTCCTTTGTATGTTAGTCACACTTTTGTAGTCGAAGCAGACTTTGTGCTGTTGAAGCTAGAGAGGTGAACAGAGTAAGCCGGATTCTCTATAAAAACTTCTCTGTTGACATCCACCCCTTGGCGCTTATATAACCTTAAGCAGTTGCGAGTGCCGTAAAGCCTCCACTAAAACTTAAAAAATTTTCTCTCCCCACTGACCCCCACACCCTCCTTACTTGCTGACCTCTATGACCTCAGACTGTGGAGTGGGAGACGTCTAGCAGCTCCGAAGACGAGGACGATGGGGAGGCAACTTTTGCTATCGCACCACAGTCCACTATGGTGAGTTGTCTGCACTTGAACCTACTTGGTTACTTTGCTACTTAAGAATTACAACATTCTATCTGCTCAGTATATGGTGCTGAGAAATTTGACGTCAAAGATTTTGAGTTTCACATCATGTCAAGCTTTTTTTAATGCAATTCTTCAAATAACTTGATAATGATATCTATTGTCCTTATCTCTCCTCCTTCTTTCATTTGTATGTTACTCTCTAGTAACACCTCTAATCTTTGGCACTTATATAATCTATTGTGGCGTTGGTGGCCTAGTGGTTAGACTCTCAGACTTGCAAACGTAAGGTTGTAGGTTTGAGTCCCATCAGGGGCCTGATATTGTGTCCTTTACATAACACTGTACATGAATTTATTTTCCTCACTTTTATATATTTATTTTTAAAATTATTATTGTTATTATCATTTGTGTTGCAAGTGCCTTAAAACTCTTACTAAAATGGGGCCTGATATTGTGTCCTTTACTTTACACTGTACATGAATTTTCCTCACTTCACCCAAGAGGAAATGGGTACCCGGCTATAGATAGTGAACCATCTTGTCAGTTTGTTACTGTTTGAGTGCGTGAAATCCTCAGCTTACACTGTATGCTTCCCTGGAAGCCAAGAATGTTTGTGAGAGTTCTAGGGTCTGCTGGGGTAATGATAGTTGTGAAGTGCATAGAGCATGCTGTAGAGCGTGGAAATGCAATGTATAAAAGCAATTATTATTATTATTATTATTGTTATTATATTATTATTATTATAATTATAATTAT